GTCTATAACTTGTATATTATAAGTGCAATATTTAGGCTGTATAATAAGTCACATAATGACATATTAGCGGCAAAATCCTAATTTATAATGCTGACTGGTAAAAAGTTAGCATCTGAAGCTGTATTTCAGTTGTGTTTAAAACAAACTAAGTGGAACATGTTTTCTGAACAGGCCACACTGCTGCACTTACGGTTACACAGCTTCTTGAGAGATGTGATAGAAGACAGTGAGGAGACATTGATTCTGCCTTCTTGCAATGTCTCTGTGGGTTTGGCCTGTTTCAGAAAGCGCTTGTACAGTTCGATCTGCAAAGGAGTTAGTCTGTACAACAGAGGAATCAGTTCCCACTTAGCATTTAATAAAGAAAATCATCATAGAGCAAGGGATATCACAAACAGCTAAGCCCAAAATTATTCATACATATGGCAGATTTAGCTTTAAAATATTTTTTAATCTGACCTAAAGCAATACTAATGTATTAGAGAGGCCCAGTCAAAATCCAGGCTTACATGTCTTGGTGAATCTGTGGAGGGCACTAAAGATTAGGCTGATGGAAAGGAGGACTTCAAACCTCAAAGGTTTGGAATCCATCCCAATAGATAAATCATAAGAAATGCCAGAGGAAACATGATTAACAAAGATGTTAATGTTGTATTCTTTATTTTAAGTGTTTTATATATATATCCAAGAATGCTTTGTAGGAGACAGAGATGACAATTTTCCAGAGAGAAAATCTTTCTTTCAATCCATCTGTATTTTAAAAGAAGCCCATCTCAATTCCTATCACAAACACTCACTGGTTAAATAAATACATGCCAGGTATGTAAATAGTGTTGGGTTTGGAAACATTAAAAAAAATTAAAAAAAATTTTTTTTAAAAAGCTGAGATAATAAATATGATGAAACAATTGTTGGCCGTCAGGGGAAGAATTTAAAAGACCCAAGTTGGCTTTTGGGCTCAGGGTCAATAGGTCAAGTAGTAGCACTAACACTCAGTGCTGTCTGCCATTACAAACAGAAGAAAATCTACAATTAAAGTGTAATATCCTGATAAGCCACAAACCTACAAGCCAAGATTCTTTTAAATACCCAATGACAAATAACTGACTTCCAGTTAGACAGAAATGAAACAAGTCAACTTACTTGCAGCACACAACTTGCTCAATTTTCACAGGAAGATACTTTGACAGGATATCTGATGTTCTCCTAATCAAACACCTGTTGAAGCAGCACATGCTCAATCTTGGAGAGGAAAACAGAACTAAATAACACCAAGGCTATGGAGTTCACCTGTTGACGATGCTGATGAGTTCCTTGAGTTTTTTTTCTCCTTCCTCTCTATCTCTGTTACTGGCGTCTGCATCCCTACCCTTCAGAATGGGAAGCTCGAATCGCTTCTTAAACTCCTGGGCAGTACCTGCCATTACAAAGATGGATATGGGAAATAAGTTTGATGTGTTCAGATGCTCTGTAGGTGATGCAGCTTACCAAGGATTCCAGCATTTACAAAATGGACCAGACTGAAATACTCCAGCAGGTCGTTCTGGATTGGAGTGCCTGATATCAGCACTCTCCGCTGGGCATTCATAGCATGGAGAGCCTGGTAAGTCTGGTTGTCAGCATTCTTCAGTCGATGCCCCTAAGAACAGAGGGAAAATTTAACACTTGGCTTTCAGAATTCATCTTTATCTCTGGGTTGAAGTGTATAATGCACAACACCTCATCACAGATCACAAGTCCGACTTTGCCCCTGTGCAGGACATCAGCATGAAGTCGAAATGTCTCATAAGAAATGATCAGGATGGGTGTTGCTACTTTCAAACCATGCTGAGAGATGAAGTGCACTAGAGAAAACAGAAATTATGCAGAAGTGAAGCACAAGTTAGCTCATACCAGTGGGTTAGGGTTAGGGCAGAAATGAACAACAACATGATTAAAGGGTAAACTTTACGATAATAAACAATTATTCAAAACAACAACTTGTAGCTTTTCCTTGACATAAACTTGCGACGGATAATGTTTCTGTGAATATTCACAATGACAGAAATAAAACAGAAACCATTAGGTTGCTTATTTACATATTTTCATACAAACACACCAGTTTTCTTCATGCTTACAGTGCTGGCTTAAGAACTACATTGTCTTCATAAGGTTTACTGCAGATTCTTAGTGACACTAGAAAACATGACCTACCTAGCTGCTTATCAATATCCTCCTTTGAGCCCCCATCGATTGCCACTGGTGAAATGCGACCTCCAAGCCACTTTCCTACTTCATTATACCAGTTCCGAACCAGACTAGATGGTGAAACCACAATTGCCTTGTTTATCTCTGGTTTGGCATTAAGGCTCTGGCGTAGCAAGGTCCACATGAGAGTGATACACTGCAAAGTCTTTCCCAGGCCCATCTCATCAGCCATGATGCAGCCGTAGGATCCAGGGATGCGTCTGCCAGTCACACAGTCCCAAAGGAACTTCACTCCCTAAACACGTCAAAGAAAGACATCATTTATATGACTCAGGGAAATGCTATTTAATAAGATATACTTTATCCTTATGGTAATTTCCAACAACTCATTGTTTTGTTCATATTTTAATCAAGATGAACTACTTCTGCAACTACTGCCATAATTTAATTCAATTAAGTTAATTTGCATGTTACCAAGTAACAACAAATATCTCAAGGCACTCAGATCATGTAGATAAATTAAAAGTCAATAATGTGCTCATAGTAATAATACTGAACTCAAGTTCAGTTTATTATGGCAACTGATAAAAAAAAGTTTTCTATCCAAGAAAACCCAGCAGATTGCATCAACTCACTGACTCACAGGATTCACTCCCCCTGCATGAGCATGCAGTGACAGTGAACAGTAGACCGCAACAAGTCTTTAACTTTATAGCAATTCCTCATTCTGCATGAAGTGATAGTATGAGGAATTGCTATAACAGGAAGAACGACCATCTTCTGAATGACTGAGGGTTTAAGGAGACACAAAAACACAGAAGCGCTGACCAAGGATTACTATCTACGTAAAGGCTTAGACATACTTCATGTGAAGTGCCAGAATCTGTTCTCAATGACGTAGATGTGACAAAAATTACATCATTTTGTTTGCCATTACCTCTCTCTGATGGGGTCTGAGAACTTTTCCCAATACTGGATCCACAACAACATGAACTGGAAGCTTTTCCCTGCAAAAAACCCCAAATAATTTTGTTTATTCTGTTTGGCAGTAGTTGGTTCCCACTGTGCATGAATACATCCATCAGATCTGTATTATTTTGGGCTTTTCTTGTCGAGCTGCATTTCAGCAGAAAGAGGAATTCAATGTGTCTGGAACTTACTTGTCAGCTTTGATCAGATCATGAGCGCTCAGAGTCGGCGGCTCATAAAGAACCAAAGCATCTTCTGCAAATGGATCATGGAGTGATTTCCTTACTCCTGTATGCTTTAGGCCAAGTGCTTTGCTTCCTAGTGAACCTGTCAGCAATTCCAAAAGGAAACAGACAGTTAAGTCATTCTCCATCACTGGACATAAAGAGAAGTCACACTGCTGGTAAAACTCACCTGTGTAATTGGGAATGGGAATTTTAAAAGGCTTGGAGAGAATGCTCCGGATAAATGACTCCTGCAGACAAGACTTTTAGTAAGAGAGGGAAATGTTTACAGGGACGTTGGGATTTTCAACCATGCTTACATGTCTGTCAGCTTCCATGCATCCAGGCCACTTGTTAAGTTGTGTCAGAGGTTTCCTGCAAGGAGAAATGTGACTCTCCCTCATCCCCTCCACTTTCCTTCTTTTCTCCTAAAAAGAGAAATTCAAACAATCAGTAACACTTTTGGTCAGCTCCACAAGCCTATGTTTAGTGTTGTATGAAACCAAATACCAAGCAGCAGGAGTTTATGCAGAACTCAGTCACCAGTGCAGCTTTGATCTCTTCGATTCAAATTCAAAAAGTACTTTATTGATCCCGCAGGGAAATTAAATGTTATTGAATGTTAAATCAAATTCTTCAAAGAGTTAAAAAAGGAGGATAGGCCCACCCTGGCCAGGTAAAGACAGAGCAGAAGAAAGAAACATGTCTTAGCTATCCATTCTCTAAACCCCTTATGGAGGGCTGGGAACAATATGCAGAGGTCAGTGTTTAAATTATGAGATGGACTGGAGGCAGTGATGCAGCCAAATAGACTGTTGTAATTGTTGTCATTGCAGAAAACATACCGTCAGTGAAAATTTAAGACTTTTTAGGACTGTCCTGGCTTTAGACATCTGTCATGATGGAGGTTTTAAAGATCGACTGAGTTCACCGTGAAAGAAGGTGATGTTTAAATACAAATCAGTTTCTGATTCACCACTCAAACATCTATTTAACTGCTCTGAAACATCAACAAACTCCAATTCAAATCAAAACCACTTAGCCTGGTCGAACCTAAATCGAATTAAACTGAATTCTATGGGAATTCACTGAAATACACTTTCATATCTGATGCATTTTTAAAGCTTGAATATACAAGTTGACCTTGCCGTTTATATTTACCATTTTGTTTTTGTAAAAAAGTGTTTTTGATTTCGAACCATGATTGATTCAGACCCTTACAAAGCAGTGACATGTCCCTTTACTAAAGTGATGGTGATGAGGTGATGACAGGCTGCGAAAGTGAGATAGAGTAACCATTCAGAGAGCTGGGCTTACGGTGTTTCCTGTGTGCCCCCCTTCACCGCAGGCCTCTCCGGCTGGTTTGCGTTTAGCCAGCTGACTGGGAGCCAGGCTTCTCCTCTGCCACAGACAAACACAGAAACGAATTAGTCTAAAGCCTAACACACTGAACAACGCAGTAAGAAAAACCTTTTACCTGCTTACCATGTTTGGTGTTTCCTCTATGTGAATGTTTGAAACCTTACATGATCGTCCTGTTCAGCTTAAACACAGCGCTTCCACTGAGATGTTAATGTAAACCCTTTAAAGCGAAAAACCCTACAGTTTACGCCAACAGTAATTTTCCTACATCAAAACTCGCGCGAAATGTTGGACACGCAACCAGTACGGTGAGCGTGATGGCTCAAGCTTCTTCAAATTTATGTTTTACCGCCACCTACGGGTCAGGAGTGAAAGAATTTTTAAAGATTATTTTTTTATATTATAAAAACAGTCAAATCTTACAAGCATACATTCTTATTCAAGTATCTTGAGTGACTAGCAGTCAAAGAATATACTAAGAGAAGAAACGAAAAAAAAGGGGTTACAGAATGGCATGAAAGCCATATAACACAATAGGTGCTTAATATTAGAAAATAAAATGAGCATAAAGCATAATAAACTGAACAGCTTGAATTATTGTACTATGTCTAGATTGTTAAATGGATAAATGTCAAAAACCAAACGGAACAGAGCAGCATCTTTGTCCCAATCATTTTCACAGAGTTGAACAGAACCCTAACCCTAACATCGAACGTTGGGAGTAATTTTCAAAAATGTACATTTGTGTAGGTAATATTTGGCCATAATTATCAGGTTATTAATTATAAATTCCAAATTTGTGTCCAAAGTATAAATGTCAAATTTAATATTGTTGTAAGTTAAAGTTGGAATATTTAAATTGTTGGTCAGCAACCAATTATGAAGGTCCTCCCAAAATTTAGATCCATAAGTACAAGAAAAGAATAAATGTTGGAAAGTTTCTACATCATATTGAAAAAAGGTACAATCATTTGCCTCAATATCAAATTTTAGTCTTAAGTATTCTTTACATAGATAAATATTATTTAATATTTCAAAATTAACTTATTTTGCTTTGGGGGGTCGAGGGAATTTTAAATAGCTGTATCTACATACAACATGTATTTTACATACAACAAAAAAAAATTCTTTAAGTATATTTCTTTTTTTCAAGGGGGAAGGGAAAGTCCTTCGGATGATGATTGTTCTTAAAGATTTATTGTTGCAATTTTTGTCTGTAAAAATGTGGCCCTGGATAAACAGTGGATAAAGCTGTGGTATTGAGGCTGTATAAAATAATGAAGCTTGTGTTAATCAAAGCCTGAGGGAGACCTTTAATTACAGCTTGAAATTCTATTTTACTGCATTTAAAATTGTATTTATGCTGGAATTTTTTCAAAGTCCAGAATTTTACCTCTGTCATCCATGAGATGTTGAACTGCCTTGTTTAAAGAATTGATAAAACTAAAAATCTCCTTGAGCTACAGCTTCAGTTTAAGATGGCAGACGTTGTCTTAAGCAGAGGGGAAATCATGGCCTTGCACTCTCCCAACATTTAGGCAATCATATTCTTGATTAAATATTCCGTTCCTTATTGAAAAACATACATACATTACTTAAGAACATTCTCTTGATTTTATAGATCTAAATAATTCACTCAAAGTGAATTGGAAATATATCTAACAAAGCCATCTCTATATGGAATATTGTATACATGACATCTTTTTAAGTAAGGGATTCAATTTCTTCCTTCGCTGTAACTACAAAGTTGAAAAAGTACCAGAGACTTTGAGTTTCACAAATGTGTTCTAAAAAGCATAATATTGTTTTTGTTGCTGTAACTTCTTAAATATGTGAACTCTTTAGATATAATGCTGTTGATGAAGATAAATTCTTGTGAACAGTATCTGACACTACTGCTGGTAAAGCTTGTTTTTCATGCTCTAGTTTCAATAAAATATTGTTTCTTTACTTTCAGTTTTTTATACTGGAAAAATGTGGCCCTAATTCACTATTGAAAGTTTTGGACATTTCATCAGAAAGTTTTGATAAATAACTAAATGTGATGTGTCTCCTTTAACTGGTTACACAGACCTGAAGTTGGGGCTATTTATTTTGGGATTATATCACAAGGAAATTTTAGGAAGAATATAACAACTTTATAATTCAAAACATTGAGAGAAAAGTTTCACCAAGGCCTGTGTTAGCATATAATTTTTTGGCTTTCATGGAAATATAAACAAAAAAATTGCAATTAATATTTTTTGCAATTTTGAAATTTGCTGAATTAGCATTCACCAAATTTCATCTTCACAAATGTAAATTTTCATTATTCACCTTTTATTCCAGTTTTGGTTAAGGAAATCAAACTGCATTTATTTGCTATTTGTGAGAGGGTAAACAAAACGCTTTAATCACATCTGAATTGGACATAATGTCCACTTTTTGTGTTTTTGTTCTGAACTGTAGAAGCTAACCCCCTTAGCAAACATTGTCACACATTCTGTATTCTACTTCTTGTTCTACCTTTAATTAGCAAATAAAGATTTCTAATATAAACAAAACAAAGAAAATTAATTCTTTCACATGATTGTTCAATGTTTTCTAGTGAAAAATATAATTTTTTTTAAAATGTTCACCTAAGTTTCCATCCATCTCTTTCAAAAATGATGGCACCATATAATATTACATTAAAGTATTATTTGTGATTTTACAGAAGTAAGGTTTGCAATGTCTACACGGATCAGTTTTTTTCATTTGTGCAACTTCTGGTACATGAGTGTTCTCATTTAAAACTGGAATTAAAGACCCAGTAGTCATTTGATCTTTGTTTTACGATACAACATGTGAAATTCAAATCTGAGTTGTTTTCAAATTTTGTGGCCAAAATAGAATGAAGAAATGTTTGTTTATTTCCATTCTTAAGTGGAGGAGCGGGTTTGGTCAATATAATTTCTTCATCTTTGAGGTTTTACATGTCGTTCAGTGGAGTACTTCAAAGTCGACCACAAAAACAGCATAGTCACTGGGCAGATAACACGTGTTAAACCATAAATATCCCCTGGACCCGCACATACACAGATTGTATTATTCTCTCTGCATTTCTCAGTCAAATTAATTAAGATTAAGTTAATTAAGATTGACTTAATCTTAATTTATCAACCTTAATTGATAATGATCAGTGTCAATATCTATGTGCCCACCATTGTAATCTTGTTGTCATGTCACTATATTGTATAAAGCTGAATCTGAATGTAAGAGATGACCTGATAGGTATTTTTTGACAACCTATGTAAAATGAACTACAGAGAACTTAAGTGAGTTTTTACCAAGCTTTCATGAAAGGAGAAGGCGCAGCGGACCGCTCCAGCGAGCTGCCCACCGCGCGTTCTGATAATTTCCAGTTAGAGCTGGTCTTTTATTTTCAGAGAAGGAAGAGATAAACAGAAGAGACAGAAGGCAAGCTTTGTCTACACACAGGTCATCTAGTTCTTTCCTGTGGGAGCGATTTCTCCCAAGGCTGGAGGGAACAATCAGTTATCTTGCAGCAGAGATACTTGGTGTCAAAAGTTCTGCATAATTACTCCGCTCAGTCAGAAACAGCCAATCAGAACTAGTAGTAATCAGCTAGCCGCCATGCTATCAGGAAGTTTTTATTCAGTAACCATACCATACCAACTTTATTTATAAAGCACTTTAAAACAACCACAGTTGATACAAAGTGCTGTACAATTTAAGAACACAACATAATAAAAGTAATTAAAAACAGTTTAAGAACAAAAACATACAATTTAAAACTAAATCCCACTGGTGTTGAAAGCCAAGTAAAATAGATGTGTTTTAAGACGAGCTTTAAAAGTGGACAGAGAAGGTGCCTCTCTGACCTGCAAAGGTAAGTCATTCCATAATTTGGGGCCCATAACAGAGAAAGCACTGTCCCCTCTGAGCTTCCTTTTTGTTCTCGGTTCCTCCAAGAGCAGCTGATTTGCTGACCTGAGAGACCGATGGGGTACGTAAGGATGAAGAAGCTCAGTGAGGTAAGCTGGGGCAAGATTATGCAATGATTTAAAAACAAACATAAGAATTTTAAAATGAATCCCAACATATACAGGCAGCCAGGGAAGTGAGGCCAGGACAGGGGTCACATGCTCTCTCTTTCGAGTACCTGTCAAAAGTCATGCAGCAGCATTCTGATCCAGCTGCAGACGTGAGAGCAGCGACTGACTGACTCCCAGATAAAGTGCATTACAGTAGTCCAATCGAGTTGAAACAAAAGCGTGGATCAGTGTTTCAAAATCAAGATCAGTAACTCTGGATTGTTTATTGCAACGGATCCTGTATTTGCCTTTGAATGTTTTATACTTTAATTTTTTTGGGAATAGTGAGAGGTTTTATTTTGGCTCTCTGCGTTATTTAGCCTCTTCAGAGCCTTCATATGTTATCAGTCTGTTAAAGATAGTATTATCAATAGCAGTACAATTTGCACAATGCCTGTTTTGTTTAGTTTTCTTCTTGGAAAAAGTTATTAAAAACACGTTTTTGGCTAAATGAAGGTGAATTCATGGTTCCTTTTTCCACATAATGTAACCGGTAGGGTTTAAGATAAAAAATAAATAAATAATAATTATGTGATCGGTATTGGTGATCGGTATCGGTGATCGGCAGGAAAAAACCTGATCAGCACATCTCTAATCTGAAGGCCATTTCAGTTAACATTATTTAGCTGTGGAGTCATTTTCTTGAAGTTTTCGGCTTTAGTCGGCATAATATGCGATCAAAGTTAAACCAAAATGTTTTTTGTCTCCATACGTACAATAAACAATGACATATTGGCTGCCTCCCTTTTTTTCTTTATTAGTACATGTTGGTGATTGAAGTCTGTTATGATGATTTCAACACATTTCTTTTGACAGGTAGGCAGAAGAAATGCTGTCCAGAATGTTTCTATAAGCTGAAAAATTTATATTATGCCTAATGTCTGAGTTGTTTTCATGGCAATTATTTCAGACATTTTTATGTTTTATGTCAGTGTTTCCCATCCTGGTCCTCACCACCCCCCTGCTCTGCATG